GTTTTCGAATATAGTTTTTGAATAGTTATTTCTAAATCCGTTGATTTAAGATTGATATTCAAGTATACTCACCAGTAAAGTTTGTCTCATATATCCATTCTGTACGAGATACCCATTTAGTTGTTTCATCCGAGTAGCCATAAAAAATATCACCCAAGATTTTATTTTCCATCAAATCAGTGTAAATTCCACCAGGCACTTCGGCATCCAAATTTTTTATGACTACAAAAATCAGATATCATTTTCATATGAGAAGTCACAAAAACGAACGCAAACGATCCAAAAACTTTTTTCAGTTATTTTAAAACAGATATTTTGACCGCAGTCACTAACTTTTTTTAAACATCTATGGCATTTTTACCTGACTATCTTTCAAAATGAAATATGGCAGGTTGTGAAAATTGAGCGTCTTTGTACATTGAGTCGCTTATAATTCGACAACCAATCATGAAAGCGCTATAGTATGTTTTACCAATCTTCTTTAGTTACAAGGGTATATGTAATAAGATATGGAACATCTAACTATCAAATCTTTATAAGCAGACTGTCTCATATTATATTGCACATTGTTAAAATAATCATCCTAGTTTAATTTAGAACGAATTTATTTTTACTTACTCATATTTGCACTGTGTAATTTCCATTTTCCATTCAAATTTTGAAACTGCAGAGCTTCTAAAACACCTATGAAACAAAAAATCGCAAAAACTATACGATGACTCATTTTGATTTCGTCACAATCAATATCACTATACTATAGATAAAGATCGATGAAACATCATGAAAATGACAGACGGGTAGGCGAGAAACAATATATACTCAAGAGTCAATAAGTTGTGTCGAATTATCTCATCTAATTTGCATATTATCTATATTGAGATACACGACACATGCGCTGCTCATCTGCCTTATAACTGGCCTTACTTTTGACAACATTAGTTCTAAGAATGACTCAATAAAATATTCCCGTATCCTCAATATTGCACCACTTTTGAATCAGTACTCTCAAAAAATCAAATCAACGAGATAGATACAACCCATCTTTAAAAATGTAGGCCCGTAGCAGCGCAAAGTGCTACTTTGCCAGTTGAGCAGCCCGTTTAAAGTTACGTGTTTTTGTGTGCGACGAAAACTAGTATACTAAGTGACATATAAATCCGAACACCCAGTTTAAATGGTTTTATTTTAATAAAATTTTGTATAAGTACTTAATGAAGCATAATAAGTAAATGATAAAAATTTCAAAATGATTGCACTGCTTTAAAGCCCTTTGACCTTTAATAATGTGTGGATGCACACTGCTACGCATTCTCCAACGCACCTAGGCATGCTTCTGATCAGGTGGTCAATGTCCTCCTGTGGTATCTCATTCCAGGCAACCACCAACTCCTCTCGAAGTGCTTCTAGAGTCTGAGGAGGACGTTGCAAATTGAGCAATCTCCTACCCATCATATCCCACACGTGCTCAATTGGGGATAAGTCGGGAGATCTTGGTGGCCATGGTAACAATGTGACATCATTATGTTGAAAGAAGTCTATTGTGACTCTTGCAACATGTGGTCGGGCATTATCTTATTGGAAAGTTGGATCTGCCAGGGTGTCAAGATAGGGTAAAAGATGGGGTTCTAGAACTTCGTGGATATAAAGCTGCGCGTTCATGTTACCTCTGATGAAGATTAAAGGTGACCTGGAACCATAAGCTATAGCACCCCAAACCATAACTCCAACAGTGTGATGAACATGTCTTTCAACAAAAAACTGTGGATTCCTCCTTTCACCACGTCGCCTTCTAACCCTGGCACGACCATCGTGCATGACTAAACAAAATCGAGACTCGTCACTAAAGACAATACTGTTCCATTCCTGATCCCAGAGTGACCGTTGTCTGCACCACTCAAGGCGATTACGTCGGTGTTCTCGAGTTAAAGGGAGGACCCAGTGTGGCCGGTATGAAAACAAGCCAAAACTTCTCATTCGTCGGTAAACACTTCGCATGCTAATAGTTCTTCCGTGTTCTGCAAACCATTCATTTGCAATGGACCTGGTAGTGGAGAAACGATCCCTTAAGGCCAATAATCTTAGGCGGCGATCTTCACGGTCTGTTGTTCTACGGCGGCGTCCAGTGCCCCTTGCTCTTTGCGTACGGCCTTCTCGAAGCCATGCCTGACAACACCTAACCACAGTGTCTACACTTCTTTGCACTCTAACTGCAATTGCCCGAAAAGAAAGTCCAGCTTCCCGAAGTCCCACTATACGGCCCCTATCAAACTCACTAAGTTGACGAAATCGTACAGGTCTCCGTACTCTAGGCGTCGTAACCGATCGTAAAGGATGTCAAGAACGTCGATTCTTTACTGCGGCTGAAATATTCATTTTTAGAGCGTTAGTGAATTAAAAAAAAGCAGTATAAAAACCGGAATGTCCAACTGATAAGGCTGAAAATTTTTTCACTTGTAAGATAAATACATTCACCAACTTTTATTAAAATAAAACCATTTAAACTGGGTGTTCGGATTTATGTCACTTAGTATATTTTGGACCGTAACCGAAAGCGACTTACGGTCCTTAGCTTTACTATGTATTCAAATCCCATTTACGCCCCGTCAAAAACAATCATGAGTAATCGTTCGCCGCTTCTATTCGCTTACCTCTTTCACGCCCAGGCATTTATGGAAACTTCATATGGACAAATATGGCCTTATAGAAGCAATTATTTGGGAAATCAAAAATTCAGACAGCTTGATGCCCCATCTGGCGGCTTTAAAGTGAAACAAACCGGATTGCTTTCTAATTGCACCTCGCCGTCTCATGAGCATTTACCACGGCACCATCGTAGGAGAACAGGAAACACGATGGTACCATGATAGGTGCCCACAAGATGGCGTGGTGCAACTAGAAAGCGATTGGAGATACATTAGCAATCCGGTTTGTTTCAATTTAACGCCGCCAGTTGGGGTATCAATCAGTTTGTAAGGACTGTACAGTAGCGTATCTACAAGAAAATATTAAGTTTATAGAAATCAATGTTTCCTTAATTTTAGTAAAAGAAAGACTACAAAAATCATAATTTATTTCTCCTTCGTTTCTAAACATAAATTGTTGATAAAAAGATTATTTGACACTCCACTGGATACAGGGTTTGTCCGGAAAGTAATAGGACTCATTTTCTTCCGCCATGACTGTACTTGGGAGCGTGCGCGCAGCGACTGGATTCGGTAGAGGGCGTTCCTAGCTAACGAATGAGCGGCTGGTCAGTTGTCTCCGAGCACTTGGAGAGTAAGAACAGCCATTTTCGCGCGACGTGTTTCTGTGAGTGGTGCAAGCCGAAAATGCAGCGTTCGTTAGAGCAGAGGTACGCGATTAAATTCTGTGTGAAATTTACCAAAATCTGTGAGATGGTCCCAAAAGTGCTCACTGACGACCAGAAATCGCGGCGAGCGGAAGTGTGCCAAGAAAATTTGAACATGTGTGAAAGTGACCCCCAATTTTTGAATAACGTAATTACAGGTGACGAGTCGTGGATCTTTGAGTATGATCCTGAGACAAAGAGACAATCTTCCGAGTAGCACACGACGGCGTCTCCTCGCCCAAAAAAGGGAAGAATGAGCAAATCCAAAGTGAAAACGATGCTCATTGTCTTTTTTGACATCAAAGGCATCGTCCACCATGAATTTTTTCCTCCTGGACAAACCGTCAACGCCAAGTTTTACGTGGAAGTGCTCAGGAGACTCAAACGAAGGGTCAGTCGGGTCCGACAAGACATCGCAGCCGACTGGAAGTTGCACCACGACAACGCCCCGGCTCACACCGCCTTTCTTGTGAACAGCTACCGGACCACGGCCGGCATCCCAACGCTTCCGCAGCCGCGCTACAACCCAGAAGTGGCCCCCGGACTTTTTTTGTTTCCTCGCCTGAAAAAGCCGATGAAAGGCAAGCATTTTGAGACGACAGAGGGGATCCAAGGAGCATGCACCGCGGCTCTCAAGGCTATTCTGGAGAATGCCTTCCGTGACGCCTTCAATGCTTGGAAATCGCGCTGACAGCGCTGCATCGACGCAGAAGGAGCCTATTTTAAAAGTTTTCAAAGAATTGTAACGATTGGCTCAATAATTTTTTTTAAATCGACTCAGTCCTATTACTTTCCAGACAAACTGTATATTCACACGAGTATAGAAAACATTACAGAAAAGATGTAGTTTTTGCTAATGGAAGGCATTGCGTTCTGATTGACTCAAAGTTAGAGCAATGAAACCTCATTTTGATTTACTATAACAATATAAATAATATCAACCAACACAAAACCAAAACAACCACCAACCAAGGCCAATGATGCAGATTAAAGTTGTCTGCCAAAAATCTGTCAAAAGAGAGTTAAGGCTGGTTAAAACTGAAAAGTCAAGACACGTTTCAAGTTTAGCCAAAAAGCCATTGCATTTATTTTGCAGCTGAGTGTACTTAACAATGCTATACAAAAGACATTTGCACACGAAAATATAAAAAAGGAAACAATGAAAGCCTGTAAGTAGGGCCAAATATCAGCCCGACAGCTTTCATAGGCGCCCGAAAAGTTACGAACGTAAATTCGGTTGTACTTGCAGCGGATGTTCTGCTGAAACGGAAACTGAACGGAAATTGGTTCGGTCGGATACTACATTTAAAAGTAGTTGCAGATCTTTTCTACCGTAACAATATAATTTTTTCTGTTATAATGTAGTTGTAAATTTGCTAGTAAACCCTGCAACACCAAACATGAAAATATTTTTTACTCTACTTCAGCCATATGGTTTTACAGAATCTGGCAAAATCTACTACAACCATACGCATACAGCGCAAAAAACCGTAATGCAGTTCCCAAGATTAATCGTAAACATAAGTTGCTTGATTTGGTCTATCCAGGCTAAAAATCAGAAAGAAGCGGGAAACTTGAAGTAATTTTTTTGATATAAGCAATTCGTGATCTTGATTAAAACTCATCTTTAGTTTTTTCAAACATTTATTATGTAGATCATTTGGATAACAGATCACAAAATATACATAAGAACTCTTCCAAAATATTTTCACTTACCTAATATTACACTTCTATATAAATTGTATCAACCAATGAAGGATAACTGTATATGTCTTCGACAAAATCATAGAATTGACAATAGGAATCATTCTTTCGTTGACTTACAGACACAATAATCAAAAACTTGCAATATGCCTTTCAGCTTCAAATATTTAGAAATAAGTTATGTTTTTACATTTGTACTATGTTGCGCGTATTGGTTGATACATTTTCAATAAATCTTACATTCTACCAGTGCTTAGGTGAACTGAAGCTCATAGTGAAATAGATGCGTTATGGCACCAACAACTTAAATAAAATTGAGCAAAATGTGTCGAAAAATATTTTTATATTCGTATATAATACACTTCAGTGGACGTACAATGCTAACAAGTTTAAATATCTACAATCATAACAAATGTATACAGTATGAACAATCGCAAGTAAATCTGTGAAATATTTCACATACTGATACGCGACAAGAAAATTGTAGTTTATATCAAGGGCAAGAATACCTACACATATAAAAACACTGGATAAGCCATTATCTGGCAACAATGACAATAACAGTGATTATGAGGCAATATTGACTAAAACTAACTCCAATTCAGGTCAGAAAAATTACACTACAAGCTCCTGTAATGCATCATTCGAGACTAAACGTTTGTATAGCACATAAGAAAGCTTTTGGAACAACTGCAAACAACAAGAGCCAAAAAGCTTGACATAAAGGCTATTAAGACTGGATACAAAAAATCAAACAATCATCTTGATAGCCTTTTGAAAAATCAGTCTCAAATTTTTACGCTTTAACAATTATTCGTTTAAAATTTGGTTTATTCCTCTGGATGAACTTAATTGGATTATAATGGGTGATTCGTTAAGAACTACTTTTTTCAACGCATCAAAAATAAAAACAATCAGCTGTATCGGGTTATCTTTATTCTAAGAAAATAGCGAATACCGCGATTGTTCCACAATCTCGACCCCCTAGGGACAAAAGTCATCATTATCATGGCGCGATAACGGTCGTCAAATACAACTCGAAACTTGTAATTCCAGAATGGGTGACATTTTAAATAAATCTTCAAAGTCGGGTGGTGAGCATCAACCAAGAGGATTGAAAATTAAGTTAATTTGTTGCCGAAAATATATGAAATTCGTAGTAAAATTGGTTTCATATATGAATGTAGTATAACGGAGTAAGCTCAGTATTCTAAATATTATCCTATTATTAGTATACAGAACTCCAGAGGTCCCAATTTGGTATATTTTTAGCAACATAGCAATTTAGTCTGGAATTCGCTAAAGGACAAGAATGCGTATTTCTTGCAATCATAAAGATAATCTGATACAGTTGTTTGTTTTTGTACATTTCTCTTTTGACAAAATTACCTCTAAATGAATTACACCTTGTTAATAATAACAAAGTACCTATTCACTGGTTTAAGTGTATTTACAAGTATAACAATTTTGCGAGTTTTTTATTACGTTTTGTAATGAAGCATGGGCAATCTGACAGCACCACATAAAAATATTTACGAAATGTCAAAAAGTATAGCCGGGCTATAAAAATATTGCCCGTTTGCAAGCGCCATATTATTTTGGAAATTGGGCTCGCAGAAATAATCCATTTTTCGATCAATCTTTATGAAATTTTTCATAAGTAATCACAAATTAATCCAAATAGTTTTCATTTTCATAAAATATCTCTGCAAATATATCAACCATGTCGAACTTTTAAGATGAAATTAGGAATCAACGGGTCAATAGCGGAAATGTGGTTTCACTACCTTGGTGAAACACTATATAATATTCTGCTCTCCACAAGACAAAGCAATTATTGTAAAGAGAGCAGCAATTTTGCGGATGGAGAAACATTTACATTAAACCACTGATTAACGTATCCTTCCTAAAAATAGTCAACCTAGGCATATACATATGTGACTACAGTACCAGAGGCACTAACCTTTTCAAAGTATATATGTTACAGGCAAAGCCCGAAGCGCGGGCAATCCTAGGAATGACTAGTCATTTCGCGAAGTGGCCAGAATATTCGGTCAAAGTCCGAAATACTCTTGAGTTCCGGACATTAACTGCGGCTCTTTTAGTCAATCCTAGGAGTGACTGACCCACCTCGTCAAAGTCCGAAACGAAGAAACGCTCTCCGGACTTTGACTAGGCAATCCTAGATGGGGCGAAGATCGGACTCTGACTGTTGCGCATTCAGTTGAGCACAAGCACTGCTATAGATGACATGTTCCTAACCTTATTTCTGTGTTGCATTTAAAATGAGTGAGACAACTGTCGGGACCGTTGAGGAAGACAACTTCGATGAAGTGAAGGTGAAATTTATGGAAAGAGTGCGTAGTGTACAGAGATCGTCGGGTTCGTTCCATATCGAAACGCAAGAGAAATATGACGAGTTGATTGCTGAAGTGGAAACTGCTAATGCCGCTAAGACGAAAACGTCACTGCAATACCGACGATTAAGAAGGTATGATATTTGGCACGTTGGAAATGTGAAGAAATTGATCACACCCGTGTTAGACGACCCAAACGTTAAATTCTACATCACAGACAAGGAACTGTTCGACGTAATACACACAGCTCACCGTGAATGTGGTCATGGCGGTAGGGATCAAACGATAAAGGTGCTGAAAAATAAATACGCAAATGTTACGAAAGAGTGTATCTCGATCTATTTAGACCTATGTAAAACGTGTCAAAAGAAGAAAAAACATCCCAAACGGGGTTTGGTTGTAAAACCATTGCTTTTTAAGGAAATACAAGCGCGGGCACAAGTTGATCTGATCGACATGCAAACGTGCCGTGACGGTGACTTCAAATTTATAATGAACTATCAGGATCACTTAAGTAAATTCGTAATTTTGCGTCCCTTAAAAACCAAGACCGCAGAAGAAGTTGCCTACAATCTGTTAGACATTTTTTGTGCCTTCGGCGCCCCGTCTGTGCTTCAGTCAGATAATGGCCGAGAATTCGCCAACCGAATAATTGAAGAATTAAAAACCTTATGGCCTCAACTGACTATTGTACATGGAAAACCCCGCCATTCGGAGAGTCAAGGTAGCGTCGAAAGGGCTAACCAAGAAGTCCAGAAAATTTTGTTTGCATGGATGGAAGACAACAAGACCAACAGATGGAGTGAAGGCCTGAAATTCTGCCAACTTCAGAAAAATAACGCTTTTCACACAGGAATCAAACAAACTCCATTTGAAGTCATGTTTGGTATGTAAAATAAGGGCTATGGGAATGAGAAAAGAAATCATATTTTTAACTTGTTGCAGGGAGAAAAGCTCATGTTGGGATTCAGACCCTCCCGGATACAATAAAGAAGCTTCTTCGAACTGAGGAAGATCTTGAAAATGCCCTGATCCCATCTGACGGCGACGGGGCTATTTTAGAAACGACGCTTCAAGGAAATGAAGGCGTTCTAATGGAACAAGATTCTGAACCTACCGGTAGGTATTAGTACACTGAAATTAGCATAAATAGGGGAAATTGGAAATTGGAGTAAGAATTGATGCAGTAACAGTGACATCTTCTGCACATAATTATTGAATTGCGTAAAGTTACCTTCCATTTCCCCTGACAACCTATTTCTCGTCTAATTTTAATAAAGACTTTCACACAGGTACGAATGTATGCTGCGTTTGTCAAGAGGAAAGTTCTGGTGCACATACCTGTTGCATCTGTGGACAAATTATCCACGCGATTTGCGCAGACAATACTTTAGAAACTGAAGAGGGTTTTGGAAGTAAAGTAACGTGTCCGAGGTGTGCGCAAAAAGAATGTATGTCTGCAAATAAAGAAAAGGCAATTGATGGTCTTCAAGCTCAAGCGGATACTATGAAAAAATTGTCAAATCAAAAGTTTCCTGCGGTTGAAGTGGGAAACACTGTTACGGTACCAATTCCTTCTGTTGATAGGGCTAAAGGTGATGCTCGAAATTTGCTTTGTGTTGTAACAGAGAAAACTGAGGACGGGTTCTATAAAGTAGGTACTAGACATGGAACGATTAATACGTTGTTTTCCAGAAATCAAATTCAAGAATGTAAGGAACGTTTGCTTAGTCTTCATGAAGTGCCTAATGTTAAATTATCTTTAAGAGAAATTAGTGGCAAAGATTCCAAATTTGGCGGTCAGGGTTTTCTTAAATGCGATTGCAGTAAACGATGCATTTCTAATTTGTGTAAATGTAAAAGGTCAAAAGTTTTATGCAATTCTAAGTGCCATAAATCTAATGATTGCCAAAACAAATAAATGTGTGCTCAGTTTACTTAGGTATAGGTAGGTACCTATATACCTGCTAATATTTTATTGCACTATTGTATCGTTGTTGAACTCAGCCAATTTTCTTTTTTTATGTTAATATTAAAAAAATACATTTTAGTTTATTAATGATTAAAAATAATATCCAACATTTTAAGATAGGTATTTCATTTCATTTTGAAATGTTTCGCTCAACAGAGTTTTTATTTTGTGTGCCTATATGAGAAGTATATTTTGTTAATAAATGTTTATTATTTAATTAACATTATTTAGTCCAAGTCCGATTTTCGCCACATCTAGGATCGCCTAGTCAGAGTCCGATGAGCGTTTCTTCGTTTCGGACTTTGACGAGGTGGGTCAGTCACTCCTAGGATTGACTAAAAGAGCCGCAGTTAATGTCCGGAACTCAAGAGTATTTCGGACTTTGACCGAATATTCTGGCCACTTCGCGAAATGACTAGTCATTCCTCGGATTGCCCGCGCTTCGGGCTTTGCCTGTAACATATATAATAAACAAAAAAAAACAGATGTGACAAATTCCCATAGATGAGGCTACGGTATTTCATTTCATCTACGATAATGTTTTGAACGCGCAAATATATCATTTGGTTGGCTATTTTCAGGTAGAATACGATAACCGATGATTAAACTTAGTCCCAGCTCAGCTGGTTTAATGTCAGAAATTGAATCCTAATATTCATACTTATGTGTACGAAAATTATTGGCGTTTTTTAACTTGTCGTTTTGGTTTATGGAACAGTATCTGATGCGCAATCTGCTGTATCTCTAATTATTTAAAAGATCCTTTACTTCTTCTATCAATTTACAAAATGGAGGTCTCAGATGTGATTCGGCTTGCCAGCAGGGGCGAATAATGCGCACATATATAGCGTTCGAACATTTTGGAGGACAGGGAAACCTGAAAATAATTCCTTGATTTTATATCCAGAAACCGTGGTAGTCTTGTTGAAACAATACAAATAGGTTTGCTAAAATGTCTACGAATAATTTAATTAGAAGTTTAAGCTTACCGTGCACCCTTTTCAAGAGCTTGTAATAAAATTTGCTGCTGGGGAGCTTCCATTTCTTCTTCGGGAATCATCAGATTTGGTTCCTCTCCGTAATTGAACATCTCACATAAAGTGACACCATAGGACCATACGTCCGACCTTACAGAAAATTTACCGTCTCTCAAACTTTCTGGGGCATACCTAACAAAGAGAATATTTTGGTGTTAGAATAACTACAATTCAAATTTAGGAGTCGTTAGCTCACCATTTAATTGGCAGTTCTCTATTAGGTGTCTTCAAAATATAGTAGTCATTAGTTCCCATGACTTGTGCTAAACCAAAATCAGATATCTTCACTTGATTTTCATCTACAACTAGGATATTTCTGGCTGCAAGATCTCTATGGACTATACTTTTCTTACCAAGATAATCCATTCCCTGTAACATTTCAGATTCATACAACTTGCAAGTCAAAGCAAACGCTGTGACAGATCAAAATAAAAAACAGTTCCCATGACCGACATATGTAGGGCAAAAAAAAGTTAGCTAAGAACTTGTAGAACAAAAAATTAAATGATCTTCTTCCTCGCCCTGAGAGAAATTCCTGCGGGTCCACATGATCGTTACTATGACTAATCCCGCGAGGATGACTTTTACGGCATACAGTCCATAGCAGCACGGAAGCGACTGCCGACTGCGACGCATGACCATCAGCCGGACGACGATATTTCTAACTTTAAAGGTAAATGTACGGGGACATCAATGATGAGTGAAATATATCTAATATGTGCGTAGAATTACTGGAGTTGGAGACGTATAAATATACCAACGTCAAAAAATTTAGATATACCCTCCCCACCCTCTAAAACACTTTTTTCGAAAATGATCAGGATCCTCTGAAACGTCAAAAAACTAAGTTTGAGCGATTTTGTTTTTCGTTTTAGGTATTTTTCTCCGGCGCCACTGATCCGAATTTCTAAAACTATAAAGCTTTTCCATCCTTGGTATAGAAGTAACGTTGTGTGAAAATTTCATCCAAATCCGAGAGCGGTACTTTTCAAGTTATAGGCGGGCCAAGGACAAGAGGACAGACAGACTGACCGACAGTCAGCTGAATGTATCTAATTTGTGTTTGGACTGGCAAAAGCTCGTAGTTTATAAAAATGTAATAACCTAACGGCACTGTATCCATTTAACATGATGAAAAACTTATGTCACGTCCTAAAATAAAAACATCTTCGGATAAAAAATAATTCCTCTAAGGACATGATGATTGTCTAATTATTCACCTCTGCAATATCTAACGCATATTTCAGTAATTGAGGTTCCTCTAATCTTTCCTTGTTTATCTTGAGATAGCTCTGAAGAGATCCATGAGGTACGAATTCCATGACTAGGGATATTTCTGGTTCTCTTAGGACGCCTAATATTGATACTATATTGGGATGTTCCAGTGCCTAAAATGTTAAAAAATGAAACATAATAAAATCGAATGTATGACTTTATATAATAGGTATTTGATCTGCGTATACTATTTTGATAGCATACCTTCATGATGTTGATTTCTCTTTCAAAATCTTGCAAACAGGACGATTTTGCGGTAGTCTTTAATTTTTTCACTGCTACCTTTCTAGGTTCCTTATCTTCTCCGTCAATATATTCTAAGGTGCCTTTATAAACTTCGCCGTAAAAACCCTAAAAAATTAGAATCAAGGAATAGTATTCACGATTAGTTTTAATTCCTCTCATTTAATTGTCAGTACATCAACTTACCTGTCCAATTCTGCCCTGCAGCACCACGTTACAGTTACCATCCAGTTCGAATATACTCAGCATCGAATTAAGACTATCTAGAGACGTGGTGGCTGTGGAAATGTTTAGATTTGGAAAGATGTTGCTCATGTCACATATGTCAGAGTCTTCTACATCGGCAAGTTCCTGAGAACCCAGCAGCCAGTTCTGAGAATGACCACCAGAAAGGCTGACCGAGCATTCTGACGGTGCTCTGCTTGAGGTGCCGCTAGTGCATGGGAACTCCTCGGTGCATGGTACTGTTGTCGTTTCTACAAATACGGAACTGTCATCATATGCTCAGACGCCCATGTCCCACAAAACATTGAGTTATTTCCAACTAAGAATCAGAGACTGTGTAGATCCAGTCATCCAAACTAGTTAATGACATGATGTGGCCTAGCTACAAACTAAACTCCATTGTAAAATGACCGTTTGGGACTGTCAGAAATTCATTGTTGAAGAAGCATCAATCCATCTCGTAATTCAAATTCGGTTTATGTTTAAGGCTCGTTCACACAGAGATACGTTAAGCTAAGGTTTCTTACCGCCAAATTTCATTTCTAAGCTAGGTTGTTACTAGAGATCGGCAAATATAGGAATTTCGCCATTAGTGATATATCAGAGGTAGATATATGTATTCGCCGTAACTGGTGACTACTCACGTATACTTGACAGGTATACTTATACCTGCTTTTGGTGTCTGAAATCGTTAGTACAAAGGGAGTTGGAGATTAACATTTTGAAGCACAAAGGATGATGACCACATACCGGCTTTTGCTGCTTTATGATCTTCAAAACAAAAAAAGAAAAACGGCGCAAAAGTGTGCCGAGACCATAAGCAAGTACTACATATGGATTTGCGCAAGCCTGACGTGAAAAAGTGACAGCATAGAAATTCAAACATGTCAACAAGTACATTTTTCCATACGCACCATGTATGCAAGTCTCAGCGTTTACTTGATATGTCTCGGTTCCATGAAGTTCGATACTATACAAAAATGTTGGAAATAAGGATAAGTGCTGACTGTAAATATTTTGAAAAGTTATCGTTCAAAGGACTGACGAAATTGATAGTGCAATTTGTGGCATATGCAAAAAACATATGTATTTCTTCTAAGAGAATAGCAAACAAATCAATTATGGAGTATTACCTTTCTAAATATCACAGATACAAAAATTTATTCCATAGAACTAAAATATATTTTTGTTCTTTTTAATTCAATAATGTTAAGCGTCATTAACTTTATAACTTGTATCAGTCCGCCTAATTCGGCATAAGGGCAGATACATATCGGCCGATCCTTAGCTTTTAGGTACAATTTTAACAGACATTTCAACCAAAAATACCTGACAATAACCAAGCGTATTTTCCTTAGTAGACCATATTATCATTATCAAGCAGTCCTATTGAAGCTAAATAGTTCTTCCGGAAGTTAATTTTTAGTTCCTGTAAATACGCTTGACTCCCAGGATATTTCGAAAATATTTACATATTATAAAGAAGATTTACAACAGATATTTTCAGTATATCATAAAACATCTTACCTGTATTATATGAAGAAATACTAGTTGATGAAGCCGTGACTGCTGTTCTGCTAAAGACTTTATGATAAGAGTGTGTTCTCCTAGAGTTGTACACTGGAAATAAAATGAAATAATAATTATGAAAGAAACGATCTAATAGATTTTGAATATACCTTGATATAATATCTGGCTGACATCTCGCATAATAGCCTGCGGTTTTTTTCTCTTATGAGGATCAATGTCCCAACACTCTTTCATCAAGGCATAGATTTCATTGGAACAGGTTAAGGGCTGAGGTAGCCGTTTACCACTGAGATAGAACTACAAAGAGAAAAATATGCACAATCGTTAATTAGCTCCCAGAATGAAGACAACGTGGTTCTACAAATTTTATGCGACTTTGATATTTAGAAAGATAGACTTAATGGGGAAAAGCTAAAAAAATGTTGTGCTTAAACTTACTCGCATTGCTTGACCATGATCACTAGGTTTAATTTCCTCTCCATACATAAATATTTCCCATAGTGTAGTTCCGAATGCCCAAACATCGGCTTCTATAGAATGTTTTGCATAATCGAGTTTTGAGTAGCATTCTACTGGTATCCAGTGGACCCTAAATAAAATAAAAAAATATTGATCAATCACATCTTTGATTGCTAGTAATTAGATCAGCAGCAGATCAAAATGAAAACATTCTGCTCGTGAAGCCCATTTACCAAAATACACACTTTTACGACATGCAGTGGAGTAACTACTAAGATTAAGTGTGAAGAAAAAATGTACTTACTCGGAAGACACGTATTCGGTATGAATACCAGGGTCGGCCAATTTGACCGTAAAAGAGTTTTCGTCATGTAAGCTGACCAGCAGCTTTCTGCATCTTATTCTACCGTGAACAATATTGTTTTCAGTCTGAAAGGCACAATTACAATAATAAAACTTTCAATAAAATGTAATATAATATAGCCTTACCAAGTGCCACAAAGCTGACGCCAAGCTACTTGCAGCTTCAATGAGATCAACAGTTTTCACAATGCCTTTCTTTTCCCTCAAATACTGATCCAAGGGACCTAATGTAATATATTCTGAGACTAGAGAGATTCCACTGGTGAAAGCGATACCATAAAGACGAACTATCGAACTGGATTGCAGAAAGACCCATTGGCCAGCTAATGATAGGAAATCCTGTAAAATAATCGTTGATTACTCAAATCAAGAAAATAGGGATAAATTATTTAGCACACCTTTAAGTATTTTTCAGAACATTCCTGTTTCAACATTTTCACGGCAACGTCTATCTTCTTGCCTTTTGTAATGATCCATTTGCTTCTAAAAACTACAGTCAGGCCTCTAACACCTTCTTTTTTGTTAACTAAAAACAGAAAATGATTGATGAAATACGAGTTTACGCTGTAATCAACTTATTCCTTTGTTAATCATTCTTTGTTTGGGCTAAATATAATTCCATAAAGTTGTCATTTTCAGTGAATTCTTCAAGTAACGAAACATTTTTCTGAATCGATAAATAGTATACCGTGTAGTTTGTGCTCCAAGAGACAGATTTCTAGGTACACTCTGCAAAAACAAAGTTTGCCAGTTTTGACCTAATAGACAAGGTTAGAAATCGCTTAAAAATAAACTGATTTCAAAGTACCAATCGGAGTCTTGTAAATCAAGATTTAAACTTTAATTTAGATGCTTCAAAAACTATAATTTTTATCCGAGTTTTCAAGCATTGAATATCATTTTTGTGGCTTTTCAGATATTAAATCGCTTATAACTCGAAAATGGTCAGCTCTAGAGAAAATTTAATAAAAGCCCTTTTTGTTCGGAATGATAAAAAAAATGAAAAAAAATCATCCGGGTAAAAAATATAATTCACTTAAAAAAAAATTCTAAAACAAAATTGATCTGGGTTACCGTGGCGGCTTTATTCAATGCTTGAAAATTCTGTTAACAATTATAATTTTTGATGTCGCCAAATACCTAATTTAAGGTTAAAACCTTGCTACACAAGACCTTGAAGGGTGCTTTGAGATTAGTTTATGTTAAAGCCACTTCAACAATATTTTTCAGACCAAAATTCGCAAACTTTTGATATTCGCGAATGCTCACTTCGCTACCTGTAATTTTTAGACAATATTGTCTTTCTAATTCATATTACAATCAAAATAGCTATGCCAGAAATTAGATTAGAGAAAATGTCCTACAATGTTTGTTCTCAACACTTTCTTGGATGATAAACATTTTCGACGTCAGGGAGTGGCAAACAATAATATGAATGTATGGGATATCATCCATTGGCATAAATAGTTTGGTACTGGGAAAACGTTGAAAATCGCTGCATCAATAATATCTTTTCAATGCTTAATTTGCTTCCTGGTATCTTTACCGTAATATTGGAAAATTAGCACCCAAAAATGTGTTTTGATGATTTTGGCTGCCGACGTACGCCGAAATCATTTAACTCACAAAAATTGTAGAACATTTGCTCTAGTTTTATCAAAAAAACTAGCATCGCAAAAAATTGGTCAAAACGGACAGTTTGTCGAAATGTATAAACGTGCACGCCCATTGAAGAGAAGCGACACGAAAGGAACCGCAGCCACATCTCAACTGTTACACGTCGCTTCGCATCGCATCGCTGCACTGTGCGTGATGTCATTTTATTGTGCGACATTACTACTCTTGCAGTAGTGACCCATTTCAGTTACGATTTAGTAGTGGCCGAAAGAACATCGCGTATTTGCTTATGACGCGCTTATCCGAAAGCTTTTCCATCTCGCAACACAATCTTATGATGGGTGAAGAATCTAAGAACAAGGTAATCTAATGAAAAAGCAACCTGGTCCAAAAAGAAACGTAAGAATTCATGAAAAAAACGTAGAGCGAGTAAGTGAAGCGGTCGTCAGAAGTCCTACACGGTCCGCTCGAAAACTTGAACTAAATTTGAATCGGGAATTGTTTAGAAAAAATTTCCATAAGGACTCAAACTTTCCAATATACAAACTACAGGCTGTCCAGCAATTAATGGAAAGCGATTTTGAAAAGCGTGGGGATGTCGCTATGAGAATGCAAGTTAATTTTGAGGACAACTTAGACCTGCTTCTTCTAATGAGCGACGCACTTCATTTTCACTCAGATCGAACAGTTAATACGCAGAATTGGGCTCCTGAAAATCCATGAGCGACCTTTACATTCTGAGAAAGTCACAGTATTGTGAGTCATTGGTCCGACAGGCTGTAATGTTCAATTTTTTTTTAGTTAAGATCGGCCGTACCGACACTGATAATTCTGATCGCTACGTTCAAATTTTTGGTGCCAGAACTAAGCAGAAAAAGGATAAACCACAGGAATGTGTGATTTCAGCAAGATGGTGCCACGACACATACTGTGAATTTGTGATTTTTTCTGTGGGGGTATTTAGGGAATCGTGTATACACACAAGCCTCGTAGTTTGACAGCGTTGAAGAAAGCAATTCGCCAGTAAATCCTGACTATGGATCGAGCGATGTTAGAGCGTGTTATGGAGATTTTCAAAACTGGATCCAACTTCATAGTCATTAATATGACATTATTTTCCATACTTAATACACATATAAATGGCATACTGTAAGCTTCATTTTAATCTTAATAAAATCTTATTATCTCGCAAATTTCTTCTGTAATATTTATTTCAAAATCGTCCGTTGTCACCCTGTACCAGAATTCTAATTCAAATAGAGTAATGAGGTCGATTGAAATAAAACACCACGAATGACGCATGTATTTCTCCAACCTTCTATTCCTAACACCCCTCTTGCTATATCTACGTAGAGTACAAAACTTAAAGTAAACCACCAAAAATCCAGCCACTAACGCTACCGCTAACACTACTATCATTATAAGTCCTATCAAAACATTCGTCTCAGTCTTCATCCAACCGAAAATCGGTGCAGTCAGCTTATCCTCCATGAGATTCGTGAACAAATTTGGAGCCCTCTTGACGTTAATTCTCACATAATTCGTCACCCATTTGAGTTTCAGGTCTTTTTGTTCGACCACACATTTCCATTCGCCAGTAAGGGATTCGTTCAGTGAAGCAAAATGGTGGGCGTTTACAGCAGCTAAAGTTGTGGTGCCATGGTCTATGAATACTTCGTCGTTTTGGACAAGTTTTAGACTCAAATCCATGTAGATATAGCCTAGAACATATGATTCGGAACATATTCTCATGCACACCTTCTGAAATTAATCGTATGAATTCCAACTTTTCTGAAAGTCCTAGATATAGTTATCAGAAAAGTATATATAAAGCTATTTTTGTTTCTCGTTTGGTAAACAAAAATTTCATAGACACATACCGGTTTTTGAATGTGATAAATATAACCAAATTGATGACAACATAATTGCATTCAGAATTGACTACTAATCATGGGCTCATAAAGTCACTTAAATGAATCCATGTTAGCTAAATCTAAGGACGTTAGCATTTCCGTATGACATCAAGTTGGGGTCAATTAAGTTAGGCTCAGATAGGTCACTTTATAAATGCACCATAAACTTAAAACAAACCTAATATCACAGAGTTACAATTCAAAGTAAGCTCCCTAGTTGCTCTGGTATCATAATCATAATGATTCGATTTGACAGCTACTGCGACAACTCTCAGTACGAGCTTTTTCTTGTTCACTCTGTACAACATGCAAACGTATAGACCTGAAAGTTCTCTTTTCGCGTACTTTATGAGAATATCATCACTCCGAAATTCAATATTAGAATCTGGCTTTATGAACACGCCATTTAATGTCCATTCATAGTGTGCTTCAGGAGATTCTTTATGAACTTTTTTAAGAAGACGTTTATTATTTTGAATAAGTCTGGTGGCACCTGGAAGAAAATACGCTTAAATAGACATCAAATAAATTAGGAATGCATCGCATGTAAGTCTTATTCAAAGTTTGACTCATTGAAGTTTTTATTCTACATGTCGAAGTCTTAAATATAGTTTTTTTAAATAGCCGTAATTTGGATGATATAGAAGTTAACGCAATATATACCTTCATCTAATATAAAACTGAATTTTTCTTTCTGCAATGATTCTCTTATCTCCTCCATGGTATCAGGGTTAAGATCTCCACATGGAAAGTCGTTACACCTTCCTGTAGTCGTAGCTGGACCTTCACATAATCTATTAGACACAGAAATACTTTCCCAAAAATGAAAACTTTTCAGATATCAATACAGGTAAATGTAAAATATAATGAGAAATTACTTTTCATTTGTTGGTACAGTTTAATTTTCGCAGATGCCTAGACATGTTAGAATAGCTATCATCTGCACAACCAATCAAGGCGATATGCAAACAGTTGATAGATGGAAAGAGAAAAAAATCGGTTTTAGCTGGTGAAGATATAAATAAAATGTTTTTCGTTGAATTATAGTTATTTCTAGTTCCTCGAAAAAGATATAAATCGATGACTTCGCTAGTAACAATGAAGTTGTTTTTATCTTTTCCTCGAAAACAAAGTTGGATACGAAGTTAATCCGAGAAAAACATATTTTTAAGGCACTTGAGTACATTTTTTGTCAATAGTATACATGAGGTTGCCCCAGAGACGCCACTGGGATTCATAATTATCTTCAAGTTATTATAGTTCTTCAAATAAAAAAACATCTTGAATGTATTTAGTACGAGGGACGGTTTTCATCTAAAAAAATAAAATCTATTTCTCTGCATATCTTCATATTAACGATATTGTTATGACCATGCAGAGAAAACCGAGCATCAGATTGCAAATGATCAAGCTATCAAATTTGCTAAGAAATGAATGAGGATTTCATGAATATTTTTTATTTTAGAAAACCTCTTGATACAGAGTACATGTATGCCAATTTTCATTCAAATATCTGAAGTGGTTATTACAGACATTTATAATAAATGATTTATTTTTAAAAACTTTACCCCTGTATTCCAAAAGTTAAGGCGCTTAGGACATGTTTATACCTGTATGAAGTTTCCCTCTTAAAACGGACAAAAAATGCCCTCTTGAATATTGACATGCAATTAGGAAACACCCTGTATAGATATACAAATTGATGGCGTATATCCAGAAAGTGGGGTCAGTCAATTTATTCTGCTATGCCGTTACAATCTAGAGTCTTTGCAATTAAGACGTTCCAGTGTTGGCTTAGAATACGTTCATAAGGTTTTGCAAAATAAAGTAGTTCCACCAGAACTTCACCAGAGGTAAAATTTTTTAAATTAATATTAAGTTCACCGTTATATTCTATATGTAATAATTATAAATATATAGCAGATAGTTCTGACATTAATTTCGACTATATTTAGTAACATTTTGTCAAATTTCAGTAACTACTGCTTTAGCTGTT